CCAGGGAGTGGCTGCATCACCCCCCCCCATCCAGCCTAGTGCTGGGCACTTCTGAAACAGAGGGAAGAAAATTCATGGGTGGGAGAAAACTACCCCAAAACCAGGGGGTCTGGGGCACAAAGCATCCCCGCATCACTCACCTGCCCAAAGGGACTCTCCCAGGCTGCTCCAGCTCCCGGCGAGGGCTGGAGCCCGGTGGGTGACCCGAGCCCTCTGGCAAGGGGGTGGCAGGAGCTCGGGTGTCGGGGGCTACACGGGACCCCCAGGCGACTGGGGGCAGGGGGCTCTGGGAGCGGCTGACCAGCAGTTTGGGCTGGGGCTGGCCCCGGGCCTTCGGGGCCGGACACAGCCAGATCTCGTGCTGCACTTGCTGCTGGGAGCTCCTGGTTTTCCTGGCTTGTTTGTGAGGCGCACCCCTGTCCATTGCACCCACCCTCGGATGCAGCCCACCCAGGCGTTGCTCAGCATCCAGCCCCGCTGGGGATGCTGGTGCAGACCTGTGCTCCCCACAAAGGGGCTCTTGGGGTCCGGCTCCATCCCCAAGGCTGCCGTGACCTCTAGTGGCCACCAAAACCGAAGAGTCCCCAGAAACAGCCATCCCCCACCAAAGCGACCAGGCAGGACAGTAACGAAGCCTCCGGCTCCTGCAAACGGCCCCAGAAGCAGCGAGACCCACGACAGACCCCCACCACCACCCCAGCCACGGGGCAGAGCCATGGGGTTTGGGGACGCAGGGACTCACAGAGCGAGGTGCAGCGGCATGGGTCGTGCTTGTCCAGGTAGTGCTCCAGTGTGTCCCAGCCGCCCCCGACCCGCACCATGACGTGCTCCCGCAGAATCTGCACAGGATGCCGTGTGCCGTGAGGCACCGAGAGGTGCCTGCAGTGCCCCCGGGGAACCCCCACCTCTGTGTAAGCAGCCTGGGGGTGGTACGCTCAGCTGGGCTCACCCAAAATGCCACCAGGTCTCCCAAAGGACAGCTTCATCCTTGGCTCAGCACCACCGAGGCAGGGAGGGTCTCAGCTCCCGCTGCCCTCCCAATAGGCATGTTTCATCACCCCAACGAGAGTGGGGAGCCTTTTGGAAAACCCCTCTCCACTGTCATGTGCTGAGCCCTTTGTCCCAGGCAGGGACAGAGCATCCCAGTGTTCCCATTGCTGGGTACAACCCAGCGCTGGCTCGGTGTGGGACAGCAGGTTTTGTCCCATAAACATGGATGGTCACATCCATGCAAACATGTACCGCAGGGCCCAGCTCTCCCGTTACCCTGTTTTGGGGATAACAGTCCAAAACCCCCCACATTGGCCCCATTGGGGGAATGGATCATGGAAGAGACTTTGTGACAGCAGAGCAGGATTCCTGGTGCCTGTGCCTCAAAAGTACAGGACAAAGCAGACTCACACGGACAAAGATGAGGGTGTCAGAGTCACCCACGCGGTATTTCCCTTCAGATATCTTGATCATGGGGAACTGGATGGGGCAGGTACAGCGGCTCACCAGGTGCGGTCCCTGTGGGCATCAGGAATGGGTCCTCACCAGGGCTCCTGGGAAAGGTCCTGGGGGGGGCATGCCCATGCCCATCCCCATCCTGCTCCATGCCCCTCCATACCATGTGGTCGAGGTTGTGGAGGTCCCGTGGTTTCCAGGGGGGCTGGGGCAGAGGAGTGCCTGCAGGTGGCAGGTCCAGCTCCTGGCGGAGCTCCTCCTCAATCTCCTCCTCCATCTGCACGAGGGTTGGGGCATGCATGCCGAAGCAGGCAGCCCGGCGTGCCAGCTCCAGCAGGCACAGCACGAAGTTCTTCTCATTCTTCCTCAGCACCAGGTCCTCCGTCTCGAACATCAGGACATCTGGGGCAGGGCAGGGCTGGGCTGAGTCAGGGCAGGCGCTCGGGGATGGGACAAAGGGGACGGGTGTCACAGGTGGAGTCAAAACCCGCCTGAGGGGATGTTATTCCCTGGAGCCAGACCACTGGGAATACGGCTGTGGCCAACAAGTGCTGGGATAAATTAACAGAGAAAGAGCCTTCCCCTTGGGCATCTAAGTGCAAAGGCACTACGGTTGTTCCATGGCATCCCAAAGCCACAGATCCAGTGGCTGGGTGCGCTGAGGATGGGTCACTCCATGCCCTTCCCAGGCAGAGTGACAGACCCTTTGCTCAGAGCCAGGACTGATCCTGGTGTCCTTACAGCTGGGATCATGCCGTGCAAGGGGTGCATAGTCCACCGTACGCCCTTTCCATTTCCACCACTCCAGCACATATTTGCACCCAAGCAAACACCCGCTGCGTGTCAGCACTCGGCAAAGCTGCTCCTGAGCCCAGAGGAGCTTGTGCAAGAAATCCCAGCTCAGGAATTTCTTGTGTTTGCAGTGCTGCCTGATGCCAGGGTGGCAACATCTTTGGAAGACACATGGGAAAGAACGTTGGATGATGCCAGGAGCAGTGGGAGAGGAATTGCATACAGGGACATGGGGCAGCTGGAGCCCAGTATCCTACCTTTAATGTCCATCTCCTTCCTGCACCACTGGATGAAGTTGGAGATGTTGTCCCTGGCCTGGAAGGTGCCCGGCTGTGCCGCGAGGTTGCAAGCGACGCCAGCGGCGGGCAGGCGGAGGTGACGGGCCATGCTGGGGCAGGCGCGGGCAAACTCCTCAGCTACGTGGGTGATGTTGTTGGCATGGGAGCAGAGCACAGCCCCTGTCTCCAGCGCCTCCACGAAGGTGCCCACCTCAATGTCTAGGTCGTACAGCTCCTTCAGCCACTCGGCCAAGTCTTCCTTCATGGCATAGAGGTACTGCTCGCTGGACTGGTAGGGGCGGATGCTCTGCACCGCAGTGCCTGGCGTCCCCATTTTGCCATAAGACTGGGAGGACACCAAGGGAAAGGGGTGGTGGGGACATGGGCAATGGGGACACAGGGGGCTGCACTGGGCCGTGTCCCCAGCCCACCTCCCCAGCAGTCACACTCACCCAGTGCCACTTGCTCTCTGCCACACGGGATGGTGACGCCGTCCTTGTGGTGCTGGGAGCCCTTCTTGGGGCTCAAGTCCAAGTCCAGTGCAGTGAGGAGAAAGGAAATCACCCTCCTGGGCAGTGGGTGTTTTGTTTCTTTCCCAAGTGCTGTGTCCTTCTCCTTGGTGACAAGGGACTGGCTGCAAACACTGCCTGTTAACCCTTCAGCACCACCTGCAGCCCTGCTCCTTCCCAGCTGTCCCAGGGGTGGATTTTCCACCGAGGTCCCCAGCTCTGGGGCAGGAGGGGGTTAGAGAGCAGCTCTTCAGCATCCCAAGTTGCTCACAACCCCAAAAAAGGGGGGATGTACCCCCTTTCTACCACTTCCATGGCAGAGGGGCTGACCTGGGGACCCTACAAGACACATCAACAGGGCTGGGTACTGCTGAATTGATAGACCTGAGGCAGCCCCATTTTTGCACCCATTTTGCAGGCTCAAACACTCAGCCGAGATGCCACAGCTGGCCATCCTGCTGCGAGCCCAAACATGCCATGGCAAGGGGCCCACCTGAGCAGGGCAGCCCCAGCATGGGGGACCCTGAGCATGGCTCCCCCCTCCCTGGGTGGAATGCCCAGAGGGATGGGGAAAGCCTGACCTCAGTGTGGGTCCGGTGTGAGGACCTCTAAACACAGCAGGGGGTGGTGCTCAGCGCAGGTCCTCACCCCCAGAGGGTGAGCAGGGGATGCTGCGCTAGAGTCCTCAAGGCTGCCAGCACTGGAAGAGCACCCCGGCACAGCACCCTAACACAGCAGGACCAGCCACAGCCCAGTGCCGAAACCACCGACCCAAAGCAGGGTACCCCGTGCCAGGGTCCGAGTCCTGAGAGGACCATCAGCCAAGCAGCAGCCCACCTGTGCACAGCCCCCGCATAGTGAGAATCACCCAATGTCTCAAAAAACCAAACATTTTAGGAAAGCTGAGGCCTGTCCTGGCCAGCACAGATGGCTGGCATTTGCTACCACCAAATTCAAACCTCGGGGACCTGACGCTCCCCCACCAGCTGCTGGAGATGACGGCCCCTTGCAAACCTGACTCGGTGCACAGGAGCCAGCGGCGTTTCCAGGGGAGCCTGCTTTGGGAAAGGAATGAGGAATATGCAGCCGACCTGTCCTGGTGAGCCTGCATGCACGGACATGTCTGTCTGTCCTGCTCACCCTCTCCTTTTCCCCTCCTCCCCCAGTAACTTTTAACAGTTCATCCAACTGTGGCAGAGGGGCACAGGACTCAGAAATACATTGATCCCGTCTCTTGCAGAGACAGAGCAGGGGACAGACACTTTCTCTGCACACAAGAAAGGCTGCCAGGTGAGCACAACCCTTATTAGACACCAGAGAACCTGCCCAGCCATCCCAAACCCATCAGAAAGCCAAGCTGCAATGCTCCTGCTGCCCTCGAGCTCCTGCAGCTCCTGCTGCCCTCTGTCCCACAGCGACACGGTCAGTGGCACAGCTCTACCTCCTCCCTCCCTTCACCCCAAAGAGGCCTCTGCACCAAACCCCTCTGCTTTCTCCTCTAAAACATCCCACAGAGTTGGTGTCTCCGGCTGGTGCCTCACCAGAGCGCTGGGATGTGAACGCAACCCAGCAAAGCACCCACAGGGAAAGGGGTCGCCATGGTGCCCTCCCAAGGGATGGGAGGGGAGAGGCAAAGAAGGGGGCTCTGATCACATGGTGGGGGCAAAGCTCAACACGGACCCGTGTTTTTCTCCAAATGTCTTTTCTTTGCACACGAGAGGAGCTATAGGGACCCCGGGGTGCTATAGAGGCCATAGGAGAACCCCCCCTCGCATGACACGCCCCCTAGAGGAGATATAGGGACTCCAGGTGTGCTATAGAGGCCACAGAAGACACCAACCTTGCATGCTGGAAGAGCTATAAGGACCCCCAGGGTGCTATAGAGGCCATAGGAGATGCCCCCTTGCACCCCAGATTAGCCACAGGGACCCCCG